GTGAGGGAAAGTTCGGCTACAGGGGGCCTGATCTTGGATTTAGGTGTAAGTGGCTTGCCTGCCACTAGAAAGGTCTTCAAACGTTCAGCTCTCAAAAGACTACGCTTGCGAGTTGTAAAAATTTAGACTTGGTCCCATGCGCTGAGAGAGCATTGAGAAGAGGTGGCACAGATGTGAACACTACGGTTGGAGCAGGCAAAGATGAAGCCAACTGTAGCGCGAGGCCCAGGACGTGGGTAGCTTTTGAGAACTCGCGCTTGTAAGAGGAGTGTGCAGACTCTGTCTGTGCCCAAGGTTCGAGTCTCGGGGAAGCCCTCAAGGTAGGGATGAGGTTATAAGACAAGCCAGTAGAGGCTCAGCGTCCATAGCACAGTGGTTACAGCGCCAGCCACATACCCTAGAGGCTGGCGGGTGAACCCGGCCTGGGCCTGCTAAACAACAATGACAACTGCAACAAAAAATAACCAGGCAATTTCTGAAACTAAAGTTGGCAGAACAGTTTTTTCAACATTTATTCTTTGAATACATAGAGGTCTAAGAGCAGACTTGGCGTCGTTCAGTGTTTATGGGGAAAAGACATCATTAGAATATGTGAGTGAGGCTTGGCGCCTGTGGCTCAAGCGGCTAAAGTGCCAGCCACATACACCTAAGGTGGCGGGTTCAAATCCCCAGCCCAGGCCGCCAAACAACAATGATGGCTGCAACCAAAAAATGGCCAGGCGTTGTGGCGGGCGCCTGTAGTCCCAGCTACTTGGGAGGCAGAGGCAGGAGACTTGCTTGAGCCCAGGAGTTGGAGGTTGCTCTTAGCTGTAAAGCCATGGCACTCTACCCTGGGGGATAGCTTTAGGCTCCGTCTCAAAAAAAAAAAAGAATATATGAGTGAAACTTGTGTCACAGAATGGTTGTAAGGATCAAAAAATATATGAAAGTTCCTTGTAAATAAAGATATCTGTGTACATTGAAAAAAAAAAATAGTCGGGTGTTGTGGCAGGCACCTATAGTCCCAACTATTTGGGAGACTGAGGAAAGAGAATCGCTTAAGCCCAAGAGTTTGAGGTTGCTATGAGCTGTAATACCATTGCACTCTACCCAGGTGGCAGAGTTAGACACTGTCTCAAAAATAAATAAACAAAAAGAAAATTAACTAATTAATGTTTGTTGCCAACTTTTTAAAATATAAATTGCAATTTGTAATTTTCTGATTTCTTACAGTGTTGTTTTCTCTTTCTAAATAAATATTCATTTCAATACCTAGATTTTATATCTGTAATTATTCTTTGTTTGCTTCAGACATCACAAACCTGGATCCCTTGTTGATAGCCATCTAACATATTTTAACATTATTTATCTATGTAGGTCTTTCCACCTCTTTCAGAAGGTATAGGCTGGCATTCTTCCTTTCTTTGGGATGCCAAGCCTTTCTCTCCCTCCTTTTCTCCCTACCCTATCCATCAAAGCCCTTCTCTCACTCCCTGCTCTGGGCTTCCTTCTCTCTCTCTTATTTCTTTCCCCCACTCTATTTCCTCTCTCTAACATAAAGAAAAACTTACACTTTTATATTTTTTAAAAAAAGGTATAGGCTCAGCACCCGTAGCACAGTGGTTACTGGGCCAGCCACATAACACCAAGGGTGATGGGTTTGAACCTGGCCCTGGCCAGCTAAACAACAATGACAACTGCAACATAAAATAGCTGGGCCTGTGGCGGCTGCCTGTAGTCCCAGCTATTTGGGAGGCTGAGGCAAAAGAATCACTTAAGCCCAAGAGTTTGAGGTTGCTGTGAGCTGTGATATCACAGCTATCTACCGAGGGCGACATAGTGAGGCTCTGTCTCAAAAAAAAGAGAAGAAGAAAGTATAAATGGGTTAAAAAATAAGTCACATACCAATAGAGAGTTAGCATATTTGATAATGAAGGAACCAACAGAACTGGTTTGGAAATAATTTGAGAATACTTAATGGGCAAAGGTATCCAGAAATATAACTATTAAATTAGACTCAAACCTCTTTCAATTCCAATAAAACCAAAACCTTTCAGGTTGTCTTCATTGTGATACAGGACAAGTGGCATCCCAGCCAGTTTGTGGAGCTGGGAGGGGTGCAGACTGGCTGCTTCCAACTTGGAGGTGTCTATGCCAGTGGCAGGGAGCAGAGGAACTAGCTGGCTGAAGGGTAGGGGGGGGGGTCCTGCAGGAGGCTCCAGTAGCCAGAGGGGCCAGACAACTAGGGAGATACTAGGAACTTAGGCTGAACAGGGAACCCACATTTTCTAGGCCTGGTCAATTTCATGTAAGTTTCCTAAGCCTGGGAATGAAAGGGATTCTAGCCATTCATTTGCAACCCAGAGGATCCAGACACTCTAAATATAACTACTGTGGTGCAGACAGGATGTCCCAGACACGCTAACTGTAACTAGCAAGTCTCACTAAATGTAACTACTGAGGACCCCATGTGACTATATATACCCCTAGACAAAGAGCCGGGAGAGAGACAGACAGTTAGACAGAGACACAGAGAGAGAGCTTTTCTCTCCCAGCTTGGGTTTTCTCTCCTTACCGGGAGCTTTGGTGTTTTTGTATTATTTTCTGTAAATAAATCCTGTCTTACCACTGATCTGTGGTCTGCGGATTTATTCTTCAAATTACTGAGACCAAGAACCTACTGAAGAGTGAAATTCCGGTAGCAATTGGACATACAAAAATGACTGCACTGCATCAGTTTTCGACAAGTTAACCTCTAACTTTGCAGAGTTGTAAAACATCACTGGATCCTAATCAATTGTTAGTCAAAGTTAAATTTCTCCTGAGTTAAAAGTTCCTTATGTGGGTTTCTTAAGAATTTTTTTCAGGTTATTAAAAAGTCAGCTATGGTTTGGCACTCATAGTCCAGTGGTTAGGGCGCCAGCCACATACACTAGGGCTGGTGGACTGGAACTCAGGGAGTGGGGGACACCTAAAACAACAATGACAACTACAACCAAAAAATAGCTGGGCGTTGTGGCAGGGCCCTGTAGTCCCAGCTACTTGGAAGGTTGAGGCAAGAGAATCACTGAAGTCCAAGAGTATGAGGTTGTTGTGAGCTATGACACCACCGTACACTACCCAGGGCGACAGCTTGAGAATCTGTCTCAAAAAAAGAAAAAGTCACCTAATCACCATTTGCCATATTTTCAGATATTAAATAATTTTCTGCCTCACTCATTTTCATTATTCTACTTTTTCTTTCTTTCTTTCTTTTTTTTTTGAGACAGGAGCCTCAAGCTATCCCCCTGGGTAGAG